ATAATGTTAATAAATAACTGAGCTTCGCCCTAACAAGCTTCTACTCGAAACTTGGATTTAATTTATTTTAAAAGCTAGTAAGAATTTCGTTATATAATTTGAGAAAAAACTCATGCGAAGAATATAATTCAAATTTAAAACAAGGCCGTGTAACCATGCAAACAAGTGAGTTGGGGTGTATAAATATTTTAAGTCTATAGCTACTACTGATGTCTTCTTCACTTTACGAATATCTAGTCTTGGGCTTACCTAGTTACTGACACGAAAAAAGCAGAAAAAACGTTTTAGCAGACTCCTTCTGCAAACCTACAATCATTAGCTTCGTCCTCAGCTTGGTCTTCATCTGAAGCCGTCGGCGCATCGTCTTCGACAATGCCACACACAAAGTCAGTCATGTCGTCGAGCGGTTCAGTTTTGATCTCAGGCAATACAAACGTACAGGCCACTGACGCTTCACTCGCTGAATCTGCTTTTCCTAAAATGGAAAATATAGATAAAAGAGGTTTCATTCCTTTTTTAATGACTGTATCCTATTCTATAAGCTATATATCTTACTTAAACGCAATGATCAGAAATTCATTCCCGATTAATCATAGACATTAATCATGAAATGGTTGTTAGATGTTGGAAGAGCCGACAAGCAATTTGTTACTGTGATTAAGCTTTCTCTGCGACAGACAGAGGAAATTTTCGTAGACAGAAGATAAGTAAGTGCATTAAGCAACTAGTATTAATTAATGAAGATGTACTGGCAAAATCCTGAATAAATTGGTGTCGATGCTGGGGTGTGCTCGTGTTATCGTAGAGGTTATCATAGGGGAAAAATTGCCTATAACAAGTCCGATTATATAAGAAAGTTATATGTCTCTGCAAAGCCATATATATATATATATATATATATATATATATAACGTGTGTTTTACTCTGTACATACGCTTTTGAACACTATGTCCTTAATTAAGAAGTAAAATCTTCCTTACCTTTTCCTTATCAGCTCATTAGAGGCTAATTAAATGGCATCTCTACGTCAGTGCCTAGCACAAAAGGAACATCTTCAAATGCGCCTTTTTTGAGCTCCGTAACTTTCCGCGGAAAATTATTTAGCTTGAGCTGATTCCCTTCATTTACTTCAGAGTTATGTTACTGCGGAACGTTACTATGGTTTTTGTGTGTGATAAGCTGCATGACCTTGCTTAGTGACCCCCAAGTATTTCCATCGATAAATATATCGGTGTAAGTATTCAGAGATGTTTATTATACAAACAGAAGTAAAATTTTTGGAGCTTCCCTCAGGATGTTTGATTTTGACCGTTTAGACTTGTCCTACGATTCATAGGAGTCAAAGTGATCCTGGTTTACCCTGTTAGGGGTCAGCTTATGTATTATATGGAATGGTCTTATGTTTAAGTATCCATCGAACTTTGGATATAGTCGCATATCGTTATGAATCTCAAAAATATATTTTAATAATTTACTCGTTGCAACTAATTCGCATCGTCCGCTTAAGCTAGAGCCTGACTGGTACATTACAGTAAAATAGGCATTTGCGCTCCTTTTATTCTTATGGGACATAGAAACGAATCTGTCCCTGTGATTTTTCACGTGGGTAATAATCAACTTACGCACTAAGGTACAGACCATATCCTGGCTGCCGTAAGCAAGACAAGCAACTTTACAGAGAAGACTTCACTGGTATCCGTAAACCAGCACAAAAATATGCAGTAGAACTACCTCCAGGGTATTTAAGATTGTTTTTACTGATCAAGAACCGAATCATGACCTACTGCGTTATAGGTCGTAATTCAGTAATATGGAAATTCGGCATCTTCCAAACATGCACCATTTTTTTAATAAAATGGACAATCTATTCAGGGGTACAGCCTCCTGTACGGTGTGTACGTAAATTACACGCCAGAAGTGATATGCAACTAGTACAGGAAATTATATTTATAAACATTAGCGAAAATTCAACTCGTACCTATAGACACTGTGCCATCCACTGAATTTCCTATTGCATAGCTTAAATAAATATATTATTGTCTAATTTTTTTTGCTCATACAAATGTCCCAGTGAGAATAAACTTACCACCGAAAGCTTGCCGTATTCTTGACATATTTTTATGTTATTAATTGAAGTTTCTCGGACTCCAAAATCAATCTACCAGAAAGAGAAATCCAAAAAAAAAAACAACTTAGTTTAAGTACAATAATTTTCATCATATAATTCATAATAATAATATATAATAATTTGTGATCGACCACTGGACTCGCCTAACTACCACCGGTGTTCAGGGGGTTTGACGGAAAGGTGGGCGCCACCTAACGTCAATGTGTGCTGGCAATAACTGATATAACATAAGCGAATTTTTTTTTTAATTATGAGAATCACGCGAACTATTAGCGTCAGTATGTTAAAATGTATCTACATCAAATCATTTAATCAACACTTTCTTGTTACCTCATGATATTACAACGATGTTATCTTGTATAGTGTGCACTTTCAATTGAAAAAGTTCAAACAGAAACTTACAACTTCAACCACAGACCTAAAGCGGACCTGCGCAGCTTCAGGTGACTTTCTCGTTCTTTAGCAAAAAAAAAGAAAAAACTTATCTTGGAAATACATTTTCACAAAAAATACAGTTCCGATTGCGTGTGTTAACACAACCTACAGAGTAACCGTCAACGATCGTGTTTGCATGTTTAATGGGCTCATCATCGTCGAAACAGCCAAGACGAATACGTTTATACTTAATACCGCTGCTCACTGTTGAATAGCACTGTCCAATACTGTTCCTCTCGTTTGCGTTTATTTTAAGCCTAAATCTAGCACAGGACGATAGGCAGGATGCCGCCACTTGGTAGATCCGGCAGGTCCACCCACAGCTCCTTCATTTTACTGAAGTCTCTATGAAGCAGCCCCCGTTAACAACAAACGACTCTCTTTATAGATTTTAATGCGAACTGTTCATTACTTGTATGCTCTTAATAGGGAAATATGGCATACTGAAAAAAAGACATTACAGTTACGACTTGTCATACAAAACCGGAAGGTTTGGATGATTATTTTTCTAGCACTACTTTTTCTAACACGTGTTTTTATTCGCTATTTTTTTTTACCTATTATATTTATCGGTCACTATCTCGTTCAATCATCTCTCACACAAGTGTCTTCAAAGGGTCAAGCTATTCGGTCTTGCCTTACAGTTGCTGTTTATTTCCTTAGTAAATTTCTTAGTTCCACTAATCTGTCGTTCACCAGATTTCATTTCAGAGCTGTCCTCTCGTTGCATTTCATCAAGTTAATCAAATATTAACTTAAACTAACCATATTGACGCTTAGGTTCCGTCTGTTGAGCAATAATTTGGACGTACGAGCAACTGAGGTTTTCGGCGTTTTACCGAGTCGAATTGTTGCACCGTGATCACTCCATGTTTATTATCTATTGATAGCGTAGATACTCTAAATGAGAGCAGCAGTAAATCACTTGTTTTACTCTTCTTAGAATCAGTTCCGACACGCAACAGTCAGGTGCAGATATTCCGAATCCAGCATCGTTGTCTATTGGCGCGCTCGAGGCCTTCGTACATTTTTTTTTTTATTCTCAAGCATTAAAACGGATTTTCTCAGACATAAATTTGTCATTGCAGCTTTCATCTTAATATAGGCCAGCCCACAAAAAAAGTCATCAAAATTGGTACAACCGTTTTTGAGATGATCCTATATAT